CTGCAAGAGCCGGTCCAGGACGAGGCGGTGGCGAGATCTTGAGCAGATCTCGTGCCATGTGATTGAAAAGACAACTCACTGTCAACGCCGCAGCCGCCGCCGCCACCATCCTCTTTGGTCAAGTCTAGAGTGCAAGCTAGGCTTTATGGATATAAAAGTGGTCTTAGTATTTAAGGCTATGATTGATTGATATGCATGACAAGGGAAGGCAGTCATTTGGATTAGGCCACGTGCACTATCATCCAGCGGACCCCATTCATTTTACACAAGTATAAAAGCTCACTCAATGTCATTCAAATGTAATGCAAGTTTAGACTCTCAAAGTTATATTATTGCTTCACACACATTTTACTTTTCCATCCCCATAGCCGACCCTCATTTTACATTGGAGGCTCACGTTTAAAGCTCTCTCACACTCAGGATTACTTCCCCAACTGACTTAACCGTCGGAGTGCGCACGGCCAACTCCACCCCTCACGAAGAAGGCCACACATGACTAACAGTTTGTCCAAGTGTGTAAGAATCCAGCTTGCGTGGGCGTGAGAGGCCTTGGGATTTGTTGGCCACATCATTGGTACATTTTTTGGGGTCAACAGGTACAATACTACATGCTCTTAGAATTTGACTCAAATTATTCATATTAGCTATGAGAAGAAAAGGTGAAAGAGGATAATTCGAGTGTAGTAAGCGGATGAAATAAAACAATTAAAGGGTACCAATATAAGGAAATGAAGGGAAGGTTTGGAGCGCGAAAAGAAACAAAACAAAAATTGCAATTGAAGAGTAGGCAATGATGGAATAAGTTGCAAAACGTACCTGTATGTATGGATGGTATAAACTGTCTAAATAAAAATTGTTTAATAGAGAATAACATGTTCATTTAGATGCATTTATTGACCAAAGAGATTAACAATATCACAAATCAGGTTTAAATGCTCCAACTCAAATTGACTCTTGGAAGAACAATTCGTTAAGTTTATTTGATAAAATTATGGCACCGCTGAAACGCAATGATATTCGATTCTAATATAAAAATTTTCAAACGAAAATAAAGCAATTAGCAAAGATTGTCCTATTAATGAGCCATATATTTATGATGAGTATTTAGATATAACAAATAATAAAACCCCACAAGAAATTCAGGTACATGAAATAATGAAAATTGAGATATCTCAATAAGTTGTGTCATTATGGAAAAAGAAATATAATCGAAAAAGAAAAGAAAAAGTTCTTTTGCACATGATGTACTGTATCATATAGCGAGGAATCAAAATAAATGTGTCGAAATATATTGATCAAAGTAATAATTGGCCAAATAAAAGGGATACAATCTTAAATTGAATTTACTAGAAAAACTTGAAATTTCTGAACTTGCTGTCCTAAAAATTTAAAGATGTATACTTATGCGAAAAAAAATTGACAAAAGTAAAGTCGTAATATAAAATGCACGACACTTTACAAAATGAATTTTGTGAAGACTTGTATAAATAGATAAATTATCATGCAGTGAATATAACCACAAATCTCTATTTCATTAGCGTGACAATGCATGAAATTTGATAAATGTGATTGTAAACAATTTATCTTGTATGATTTTGATACTATCTTTGAAGGATTTAATATGTCTGAAACATAATTCAACTGATATTATCATGAGAGGAATTAAATACGCGTTGTACTTTTTTTCCCTTGATCAAGGTTTTGTCTCATTGGATTTTCTTGGTAATGTTTTTAACGAAACAACTTTTATAGCATATTTAAAAGAATAATGTACTATTTTTCCTTCATTAAGATTTTTCTCACATGGTTTTTCCTAATGAGATTTTAACGAGACGTATTCTTTGTGTAGTGAAAATCCATAATCAAAAAACATTTACCCTCAAAATAATATTCTAATATATATGAGACTTCGGAAGAACTCAACAAAATTGCAGATTATTTGAAAAATGAATTTGTAATGAAAGATTTGAGAGAAAAACAAATTCTGTCTCGGATTGCAAATTGAACATTTCCCAAAATGATTATTTGTTAATGAATCTATATATACAGAAAAAGTCTTAAAATGCTTTTATATGGATAATGCACATCCATTGGTATCACCTATGGTTATTCGATCACTTGATGTGAAAAAAAAAAATCTATTTCCTCCACTTGAAAATTGAGAAAATATTCTTAATCCTGAAGTACCATATCTTAATGCAATTGGAGTATTAACTATCTTGCAAACTGCACTCGACCTGACATAATTTTTTCTAAAATCTCTTTGTAAGATATAGCTCTACACCGACGCAAAGATATTGGAATTGTATGAAATATATTTTTCATTACCTAAAGGGTACTATTGATTTGTGAGTATTTTATTCTCAAAATTCGGGATTTGCTTTAGTGGGATATGCAAATGCATGCATGTTATCTCTCTAACATATACAAAGCTAAATCACAAACAAAATATGTGTTTACACGTAGATGAACGGTTATATCATAGAGGTATGTGAAGCAATCTTTGAGAGCAATATTCTCAAATCATTCTGAAATTATTGCAATTCATGAAGCAGACTTAGAATGTGTATGGTTGATGAATATAACCCATCATATCCAAGCATCATACAGATTAATTTCAACAAAAGATAGTTTAACAATTTTGTATGAAGATAACACCGTTTGTATTGCACAACTCAAAGGAAGTTATATCAAATGTGATAAGACGAAGCATATTTCCTCCAAAATTCTTTCATACATATGAGTTTCAAAAGAATGACGACATTGATGTTCAACAAATTCATTCAAGTGATAATGTGACTGATTTATTCACAAAACACTGTCAACATTTACATTCAAGAAATTGGTTCACAAGATTAAAATGCATCGACTAAAAAATTTTCAGTGATCAACATTAGGGGAGCAACTGCACTTTTTTTTTCCTTCGCTTAGGTTTTATCTCACCGGGCTTTCCTAGCAAAGTTTTAATGAGGTATCATTTATTTTTAATATTCCAAAATATCTTTACTCTTTTTCCTTCGTTTGATTTTTTTATCCCATTAGATTTTTATCAGACAAGATTTTAACAAAGCAGATATTTTGTAATATGTCATTTAAGAAGGGTGTTGTAAATGGTAAATTTGTTAGTGAATGACAATTGTACCCCTTCATATTATCATTGTATCATTCCCTGTAAATATGAGGATTTGGTTCTTATTATAAAACATACAAATTTATTGACTTCTCTAGTTTTATCTCTTTTTGTGTCTAGTTTATATCAAACGGTAAAATTTCGTTAATTTTAATTAGACTGAGAGTAGAATCTCATTCTTTTAATGGAATGAAAAGTGATTAATTAATTATCTCGGTTAATTAAAAATTGATCAGGTAAAGATTAATTTAGTGAAACTTAATTTAATTAACTCTGATTAGGATTGTTTCATTGACTTTTTTCAAAATAAGAATTGAGATCAATTATAAAGTTATAATTGATCTTGGAGTGCGGTGAAAATAATTAAATTCTGCCAACCAAGCCGTCACGTTACTGGACATGTTGCAGTGTCATGTGCCGCTGCCAGAAGAAAAAGTTCCTTCTCTTATTACGTTTCCATGTCCAAATAATAATTCATACTAATGTACAGGCACATATGCCCCTGAGAACGCCAAAAGATTTAAAAGTAAAATCAATAAGAAAAATACAAATAATTTTTTAGTAGAGCGGTCATTCTTAAAATACCAAATCAATGAAGAAAGTGTTGTTGGGGCTGCCATTACAAAAATGCAATCATATGTTGTTCTCCCAGAAATTTTACATTAAAATTTTGTGTTTTAGATTACCATGACTAAGTGCCTCACAATCATTAATTTATTTTATGATTTGTTACATGATTATTTTCAATTAAATATTTATATAATAAAATATTCTACACGTATATCAACGATTTTTTACTTGTTTTTAATTATACGTTATCTTAATAATCACTGTTCAAAACCTTTTTTTTTCTATAATAGCGGTTGTGAAACAGGGCTCTCTAAGTCTCCAAATGATTCGTTGGAATTCTCACCGCATTTTTCAAGATCAATTTGTAATCATCAGTCAATTGGAATTTATTTTTCAAGGATGCCGTTCTTGAGGACAAGAATGGTTTAAGAGAGAGAGATCGAGAGTTGAATTTCTAGAAATTTTCTGCTTGTACCCACCTCACATTCTGCATGGTTTTTGGTTTTTTCTCTCTCTCTACGTATAGATGTTCTCGAATTTCTATTGTATGAAATTTTATTTGTGATGGTCAGAGTTGGTGACAGCTTAGGCGGCTTCAAAAGTAATTTTTGTTCTAATATTATAATTATTTGAATTGACTTCAAAAAACAAAAACATCTCTCTAGTTTTTTAGTCATGAATTCTGTTGCAATTTCAACCCGTTTACAGAACCATTTTCGAAATTTACGACGATCCACTGATCCTCTCTTTCACTCATCCTTGTCTGTAGACATCTTCCGCAGCCATGATAACACAAAGCACTTATTTTTTCAAGTATTCTGTGTTGTTTATCCCATGTTTATTAACAAACATTAATTTCTCCTATGGAGCTGACAGTATCACAGCAAACCAATCTCTTTCTGGAAACCAGTCAATTGTCTCTTCTGGTAACACCTTTGTGCTGGGATTCTTCACACCAGGTAATTCTTCCCGGTATTATGTAGGAATTTGGTACGAAAATATTAGTCCACGAACCATTGTTTGGGTAGCAAATAG